CTCAGCTCTAACGAGGCTGCGACGTACATGAGGCGCCTTAGCACGGTATCGTGCACGGGGGGCATGGCCTGGCATGATGCGGTTCGGGGGACATGGTCTGGCATAATGCGGTTTGGGGGGCATGGCCTGGCATGATGTGATTGGGGGGCATGGCCTGGCATGATGCGGTTTGGGGGGCATGGCCTGGCATGATGCGGTTCGGGCGGCATGGCCTGGCAAAATGCGGTTTGGGGGGCATGGCCTGGCATGATGCGGTTCGGGGGGCATGGCCTGGCATGATGCGGTTCAGGCGGCATGGCCTGGCAAAATGCGGTTTGGGGGGCATGGCCTGGCATGATGCGGTTCGGGGGGCATGGCCTGGCATGATGCGGTTCGGGCGGCATGGCCTGGCATGATGCGGTTCGGGCGGCATGGCCTGGCAAAATGCGGTTTGGGGGGCATGGCCTGGCATGATGCGGTTCGGGGGGCATGGCCTGGCATGATGCGGTTCGGGGGGTTTCGTTTGTGTGTGTGAGCAGACTTGCAGACTTTGTCATTAGTGCAACTCATGCATCAGGATGCTGCTGTTTTTGCTGCTCTAATTACCGAGCCTCGTCAATCTTGTAACACAAAGACGAACTTCTGCACTCATCCCTTCGACTCGCATACTTTGCACTTCCGAATTCGAGCAGCTTCAGTGTTTGACTAGTCCGCGCTTCACTTGGGATCCGTTTGTCCCCTCACTCTGATCAGCTATGTGCCCCAAATTTAGTTCGCTGTGCCGGACATTATGTTGTCGTTCATCCGCCTCCTGCACGTGCTTGAGAGTATCTGTTGCACTACTTGAATTGCAAGAGCATCGCACCGCATTCAACATCAGGTGGTTTTCGTACGTACCACGCTGTTCGATGTTGCTGCCGCGATAGGGAAGCGACGCTCTGCTGGGTTAACTGGTCCTGTCGAGTTCTGGTACGACCCTCCGGTATCTGCTCCTGATGCTGACGTCGCTCCCTCCTTCGCCTTTCTCCGTTTCTAAAGGTTTATCTATGAGG